GTGAGGGGGGGAGGAGAACCCCGCACGCGCCGACGCCTTTTCCTCGTACTTAGGGAACCAAGATATCTTTTGTGTCACATCTAAACTGCTGGCCCATGTCTCCAGCAGGATGGCGATAAGCCAGCGTGGCCATCTTGGGATGCTTGCTCTGGCCTGGGATTTTACAGAGCTTTGAATCTCTGGCCTGTGTCAGTTCAGCTTTTGTGCAGGTGAAACTTTGCTGCTTGCAGTGTTAAAGCTAATAGGTGAAGATGAATGATTTTTCAAGTGTTCCAAATACTACTGATGATTCTCGTTTATTAGGTAATTAAATCTAACCACTTGTTTTACACTTTAATATTCTGAAATTTGCTGTTCTCAGTTTTCTTAAAACACGATGGTTTTGAAAGCTGGTCTGTATGTCAGTAAACACAGAACAGTAACTATATGTTTTCTGTATGAACCAAAAGAGATTTTCTCGGAAGCTAGATGAACCGAATGAGAATAAGAGCATATAATAGAGCTAATAGGTGGTATTTTTGCTGAAATTTTTATTTATCAGTTACTATTTATTCTGTTAGATACTCTGCTCTTCTGAGAATTCTAAGAAATGTAAAATAAAGCCCCCTCTCCATTAAACCATACAAAGTAGTTGTTGAATAAGGCATACACATGAATCTTCCCTTGTACCTTAATTAAGATAATTTTCATGGACAGTTCATCCTCATATGTAATTATTTCCTGATATAGGAATGCAAAATCTGATTAGCAGCATTTTGCATAGTATTTGTGAAATATGGAAAACTTAAAAATGAAACTATATTCAAAAACTTATTCAGCCGGGAGTGGTGGCTCATGCCTGTAATCAATCCTAACACTCTAGGAGGCCAAGGCGGGCAGATTGCTCAAGGTCAGGAGTTTGAAACCAGCCTAAGCAAGAGCGAGACCCCCTCTCTACTATAAATAGAAAGAAATTAATTGGACAACTAATATATATATATAGAAAATATTAGCCGGGCATGGTGGCACATGCCTGTAGTCTCAGCTGGTCGGGAGGCTGAGGCAGTAGGATTGCGTGAGCCCAGGAGTTTGAGGTTGCTGTGAGCTAAGCTGACGCCATGGCACTCACTCTAGCCTGGGCAACAAAAGCGAGACTCTATCTCAAAAACAAAAACAAAAAAACTTATTTATCATATGCTTTGATTTCTTTTTCTGCTTATCTGTATTCTCTTTTTGTGCATTTCATCAGGCATGGGTGTAATAGCCTTTGAGAGGTTAACACTTTGGCACAGTTATGTTCCAGATTCATAGGAAGGAGAGCTTATGATCTTTGGATGTGCTCAGAGACATCTATCTGTGACTGACTTAGCTACCCTTAAATATATTAACTGCTTTGCAAATCAGAATGTTAGTAAAAGTCAGCCAGTTTACATGCAGTTATTACCTAATCCTCTGTTAAGCAGTTTTTATGCTGCAATCTCCGGAATTTTTCTCTTCTTAACATAGAACCTCTTAATAGTTTAAAATTTCTAAAGCACAGGGTTAAATATTAGTCTACATTTGACATATCGTTGACCCATCTCCATATATGAGCTGCCAATGGGTGTTACTTTCTTAGTTTTGCAAATTGTATTTTCTTGGTCATATTTAAGAACGAATAGAACTTTTAGTGCTTTTAGCTTTTAGCATTTCCCTTTTGGCTTTTAAAGGCAACAGCTTAATCCAAGTGCCTGAGTGGTATGTCCGCATGATGCTGAAAACCATGGGGCAGCCTAGGGGTTTACATGTGCATGCCTGTCTAATCTGAACCCATTTACTGATATTGAGATATTTCAGCTCCATGTTTCCAGGGTAACATGATAAAAGAATTAGGGTGAGACTGGGTGAAAAATTGGGAAGAAGAAAATTTATTTGGGGTAGTTGGGGTGTGGGAGTGTAACAGGGAATGGTTTAGATAACTAGGAAAAATGTAAAGATAATCCTATTGGCAAAATTGAAAATGGACACGACCTATTCTGGAATTCGCAACTGCTAAATAACCATAGCATGGAATATGAAAACTTGCTTCATTCATTTCTCTATATTCCCAGCCATTTTCTCACTAGCTCTTTCCTGGTATTTTATTTTTGAATGTACCATGACTTTAGACTTCCCTTGCATAATCCTGAAATAAGCACTGAGCAATATGTTAACATTGATATGAAAACTTCATGTTATATTCTACAGATGCTCAGCATTCTTGTTTCAATGCCCTGTAGCTGTGTGTGCCTGTGTGTATGTAGTCCGTCAGGGAGGTCTCTCTTACAAAGAGTCTTCAGTCCTTGTCTCCCTTCACAGACAATTGCTGGAGTCAGAATTCACAGGCTTGATCTTTGGATGGAACGTTCTTTTTCAAATGGAACCCTGAAGTATATGTTGAAATAGAAAGATGGCAAATGGGTTTCCTTACAGTTAGGAGGAAGGGTAATGAGAATATGTTGTGTAAATACACTTGTATCTTGTGGGAATTTGATCAGAGCCAAGAAAATATGGGCCTCTACGGTATATTTTTTTGCATATATTTTCTGCATCTTGTTTGCATATGCATTTTCCTCTTCTTGGGTTATTTATCTGTATATCCAGATCTACTATATGAAATTTTATAGAGTATGGAGCTGTCTGACAGCAGAGCTTTTTTTGTTTTACTGAATGTTTTGTTGGTGCATATGGTCTGACATGGATGAGCAGCCACGGTGAGATTTTGGAGTCTATTAAACTGGCTCATTAAAAAGATCAATCTGTTTCTGTAATAACACTGGGAGCCATCAGTCACTAAAAGAGGGAAAAACTGACACCTGAGGAGAAAACACATTTTGGTAATTTGTTCATGACATGTCATGAACAAAAGAGCACTCTATATTTTGTTTGCAACTTTGGGGGCTTAAATTCTGTGACGATGGCTAAGCTAATGTACTAAACAGTCATCATGTGTTTCAGGGATGGGGTTTGGCAAATTTAACTTTCTTCTCATCCTTAAATATGATTGTCACTGGTTATGGCTTTTCTTTTTTCTTTTTTCTTTTCTTTTTTTTTTTTGCACTATTGTTATTTACAGAGCAATCAATTCTCTAGGGAAGCTTCTGACATCATTTCTTTTTCTCCCTGTATGGAACAATGAAATGTTTCCTGCCTTCTTTTAAGAATAGCTCTTGGGAGAGTACCTGAACAATTGTACTGAATTTGTAGGTCTGTGGTAGAATGTGGTAGAACCTGAATTAGAAAAAGACAATTTTCATTTAAAAATCATGCTATTTTCCCCCCCTAAATAATAGGAAAAGTGATATAAAATTCTGATTTGCTAATATGTAAAAGTTTATTATTTATATAGATCTTTATTCTTTTTGCCATTCTGTGATGGGAAATGCTGAAGAAGGGGATGAGAGCCATTTTTGGAGCCAGTTAAATGGAGTGAACCTTTTCACAGAGACTAAAAGTTAAGAGCACTCTTTAAACTGCCCACCACGATGGCTCGTAAAGACACAAACACCTTCACTTGGAGTGGGGAGGGGGCCGAATAGTTAAACAATGAATGTTTCGTGTCTCTGAGACTACAGGATGGATTGCAATTATTAAGATTAAAAAATTATGTTTGGTTAATTATCATTGCTGCCTTTCTTTTCTCACAGCTTTGATATTGTAGCTGTTTGATCTAATTTGACTTTAATTTTGTGTTCTCACCTGTTATGCTATTTTTCTGACTCAGAGGACTTTCCTTGCTTAAGAAATCAAACCAAATCGATCTTTGGTTCTGTATGGGTAACATTGTTTTTTCTCTTCTTTCTATTATCTCAAATTGTTGATGCTAAGTATTAATCCCCTTCTTATATTTCATCATTTTAATATAATTATGCTTTATATTACTCTCAATTTAACACGTCTAGACTTTTTGTTTGTTTGTTTTGAGATAGGGTCTTGCTCTGTTGCTCAGGCTGGAGTGCAGTGGCCTCGTCATAGCTCACTACAACCTCAAACTCCTGGGTTCAAGTGATCCTCCTGCCTCAGCCTCCTTGAGACTTTTATCACAAAGGCTATGCAGTTGTATTATTATTAATTTTCTCCTCCCCCAAGTGTTTCCTCCTCCTCCAAGAATTAAACATCATTTTAAAAAAACATTTGTTTGAACATTAGAATTATATAATTTGTCAACTGGGAGGGATCTTATGAGTATAGCAGGCCCCTTTCTCTTTATACTTGAGAAAACTAAGGCCCAAAGAACTTGTCTGAAGTTGCAAAGATTTTTAGTGTGGGGACAGGCATGTTCAACATACTTGAAATCTTCCAGTTACAACATATGTTTAAATGTGTAGAATTTAAATAAGGAAAGCTGAACTATGAATTGAGTATTTTCCCCTTCTTACTATTCCTTATTTATTTCTTTTCTATGGTTGCTCAAGTGGGTAAATGCCATAGTATAGCATTCTGAGGTTTTATATAGCTTTGTAATGATAGAAGATCTGTAGTCAGCCAGATTTCCTGGGCCTACTAAGTTAGAAAACGCTGAAGGTTGGAGGGCAGTTGTTGGAGAAGGTTGTAGAAAGCAGTTGTTTTGAAACCATGTCGTTGTATATATAAGATTTGTCATCATAGTACAAACCAACTAAACTGACTAGGTCAGTTTTTCGTTTTCTGTAAAATGAATGGGATTTCACTATTTTTGTCTTTGTAAAAGAAAAGGTAAGTACACTTTACAAGGAATTGTAGAATAAACTGACTATGCAAATAAGATTTAAATTGGTATAATCTACTGTAGTCTATGGGACAAATGTAGGGATTTTATATTCATACATTCTTGTTTTGCATTGCATCTTTTATGCATTCCTCAGTTGCAAGAAGTGAGTAATCACCCTGTAGAAATGATTTTTTAAACATTAGTCACATCAGTTGTGAAGATTTCTAGTAAATAGCATAAAATTATATTCATTTGTTAAAGAAAGAGCAGGGTTATAGAGGACGTTTTGGTATCTCCACATTACAGCCTCAAC